ATGTTGAAGAATAACACCAGAGAGCACGCCGAGGCAAGGTCAGAGTAGAAATTAGAAGTTTATCAAAGGACAGCAGAAAAGACTTCTCCCGGAGGAAGAAGGGGACCCAAGAGGTGGAATCCGTGGAAGTGCGGTTGTCTCCCCTTTTTATAGTTTTGGTGATGGAATGTAGGTGGGAAGGCCCGAGGGGTGGGACCCAGGTGGGCCAAAGAAGTAATCTGGGCAGGATGGACTTCATTAAGACTTCTTGAGATGGGCTATCTCCAAATCTGTTGGGGGCTGTTTCCTGGGTTCCATTAACATTTCTTTGGGATGGACTTTGGCCTAGGGCCTTTCTGGGACTTCATTATTCCATGAGTTGTCCTGTGTTTCCCGGAATCATTGCAGCATGGCCTTCATTTTAGATTTCACTCTTAGACCCCATTTACCTAACTACATTGACTACCTAATTTTAAATCTGGCTTCAATAGTACCGAGCCATGGATACGCTACGTATTTCCTGTACATACATAAGTACCTTAAAGTTTAATTTATAGATTAGGCACAGGAAGAAAAGAACAATAACTACTAACAAAATAGAAATGTAATAGCTCTACTGAAATCAAAGTTACGCAGGTCTCTCTCACTATCTAGCTGTGCTGGGCTCACCGTCTTCTTAACCACAGCCAACTGTGGGTAAGAGAAACCAGGGATAGGGAAACCACGGATAAGGGAGCTATGGGTGCTTGGATAGTTACTAGGTTGAGTGTGATTTCAGAGAAACTCCTCCCTCCTCCACAGACTCCCAAGTCCAATGGGTCTCCAGCCCCTTCCTTCCCAGCAGCGCCCCCTGCAGGAGCTGGCAGGAAGGAGGCTGTGGAGGGAGGCAGCAGGCGGGGGCTGGGGCAAGTGGAGGAGGGCTTGGCTCTGGAGAGAGCGACCTGGGAGATGGAGTCCAGTGGCCTGAGGCTGGATCATGACTCTGAGGGCTTTTCCCCAGGGCCGGTGGGTCCCAGCCTCACTCTGAAGCACAGGAGGGCAGGATTGATATCCGAGGGTTGCTTAGTTCCGACCCCACCTGTTGAGAATCCCAGCCCTGTGGGTGGATCCTTCTCAGTGGGGGTCCACATCAATTATTGGCTGAGGGTGGAGCGAAAAAATCTTTACCCCTCTGCAAAGGCACACAGTACCTAAGGAGAAACACAGGGGATCTGTGCTATTGAGGTTTCAGGGGAGGGTGGTTAGACAATAAAATGTCAAAGGCCCTTTCAAGGGGTGATAGGGAACAAAGGTTGAAAATGCTGATTGAGACCCCATGAGATTTTTTCAGCTGAGAGCATCATATTCAATCAATAGAGTCATTCCGACCTTTATCACTTTGATATGTTAATTGTAAGCTTACAACAAAACATTTTATTCTATCTTGTTCCAATTTGTGCGCGTGCGTGTATGTGTGTGTGTGTGTGTGTGTGTGTGTGTGTGTGTGTATCCAACATCCTCTTTGTGAAATTCTCCACGATATCAGTTTCCCACTCATTCTAGTGGGGCACCTTTGACTCCCGTCCTAGCCCCCCTCGTGCTCTGCATTTCCCTCCCATCACTTGGTGTGGTCCCGACACCGACCCCTGAGGGCAGGTGTCCATAGCTCTATATTCCAGGTGAGGAAACTGAGGCTCAGAGAAGGTATGTGGCACCACCTGGCAGTGGCTGGCCTGGCCTGGCACTCATTGCTGAGAAGCACCCAGGAATCCGGCAGTGACCTTGGGGAAGCTCTGCTTCTGTTTCTTACCAGAGCAAACTAGTATGTAGACAAGGCTGAGCCTTTTCTGATACTGTCTGGAGAGGGCCTGGGGTCTGTGACCTCAATCTTTTTTTTAGAGGGAGGATGGTACCAGTAATTGAACTCAGGGGCACTCAACTACTGAGCCACATCCTCAGTCCTATTTTGTATTTGATTTAGAGACAGGGTCTCACTGAGTTGCTTAGTGCCTTGCTAAGTTGCTGAGCCTGGCTTTGAACTCATGATCCTCCTGTCTTAGCTTCCTGAGCCACTGGGATTACAGGTGTGCGTCACCACACCCAGGTGTGACCTCAGTCTTAATGGACCTGATTAATACACTCCCAGAGTGACGTTTATTGCTGTAGACAAGGACCCTCACTTTTGCATATAAGTTGTGATTGATCTTTGGAGAGCTGGGGTCAGGATGGGCTCATGCTCCAAGGATCTCCTGACCTCATTTGATGCACTGAGGGACCAGGAAAATAAGAAAGGGACAGAGAATAAGAAAAGACAGAAAAGGGGACAGGGAGCCATATGCCATGTAACCCATTCAGATATTCTAGTTGCACTGAAGTTGATTGGCTGGTTACCTCCTCCTCTTCTTCATCTTTTGCTATCAGGGATTGAACCCACATCCCTAGCCCTTTTTACTTTTTGTTTTGAGATAGGGTCTCATTAAGTTACTTAGGGCCTTGCTAAGTTGCTGAGGCTGGCCTCAAACTTGCAATCCTCCTGCCTCAGTCTCCCAGGTTGCTAGGTATGTGCCGCCATACCTGGCAGCTGGTTTCTCTTCTAAATGAAACCAGTACAGCATGTAGACACACAGTAGGCACTCTATAAATAGCTACTATTATTCTAAGCCTTTTCCAACCTTTGACTTGCAGGGGCTCATCTGCCAACAGTGATGCCCAGCCCTTGATGTAACTTGAGCCACCTTCTCTAAACAAGATGGCAGTGGGGAAACTGGCCTAGTCCCTGAACCCATGAGGGGTGAGACCCCTTCTGGTCCAAAGATGAGAAACATCACTGTGGATAATTCCTCGCTGAGCTGCACCATTGACCACACCATCCACCAGACGCTGGCCCCGGTGGTCTACATCACGGTGCTGGTGGTGGGCTTCCCGGCCAACTGCCTGTCCCTCTACTTCGGCTACCTGCAGATCAAGGCCCGGAACGAGCTGGGCGTGTACCTGTGCAACCTGACGGTGGCAGACCTCTTCTACATCTGCTCGCTCCCCTTCTGGCTGCAGTACGTGCTGCAGCATGACCACTGGTCGCACGGGGACCTGTCCTGCCAGGTGTGCGGCATCCTCCTGTACGAGAACATCTACATCAGCGTGGGCTTCCTCTGCTGCATCTCCATCGACCGCTACCTGGCCGTGGCCCACCCCTTCCGCTTCCACCAGTTTCGCACGCTGAAGGCGGCCGTGGGCGTCAGCGTGGTCATCTGGGTCAAGGAGCTGCTGACCAGCGTCTACTTCCTCATGCACAAGGAGGTGATCGAGGACGAGGACCGGCACCGAGTCTGCTTTGAGCACTACCCGATCGCGGCCTGGCAGCGCAGCATCAACTACTACCGCTTCCTGGTGGGCTTCCTCTTCCCCATCTGCCTGCTCTTGGCCTCCTACCAGGGCATCCTGCGGGCCGTGCGCCGGAGCCACGGCACCCAGAAGAGCCGCAAGGACCAGATCCAGCGGCTGGTGCTCAGCACCGTGGTCATCTTCCTGGCCTGCTTCCTGCCCTACCACGTGCTGCTGCTGGTGCGCAGCCTCTGGGAGGCCAGCTGCGAGTTCGCCAAGAGCATCTTCAACGCCTACCACTTCTCCCTGCTCCTCACCAGCTTCAACTGCGTGGCGGACCCTGTGCTGTACTGCTTCGTCAGCGAGACCACCCACAGGGACCTGGCCCGCCTCCGCGGAGCCTGCCTGGCCTTCCTCACCTGCTCCAGGACCAGCCGGGCCAGGGAGGCCTACCCGCTGGGCGCCCCGGAGGCCTCTGGGAAAAGCGGGGCCCAGGGTGAGGAGCCTGAGTTGTTAACCAAGCTCCACTCGGCCTTTCAGAGCCCCAACTTGCCCAGAGTGGGAGGGTCCCCCACGGGCGGGCTGGCCTAGCCGGGTCACCCACGTAGGGGCTACCTGAGCCCGGAGCCTTTAGCCCAGGGGCCTGTGGTCCTGAGCTTGCTCGCAGGCCGCCTCCGCTTCCACGTGCAGGTGCCTCTTTCTGCTGGGGGGAATGGTGGGCCTGGGCCGCAGCCCCGAAGCCTGCTCTAGCTGGCCGAGCCCAGGGGCCCTGTTGAGTGTGGGAATAAGCCCCCTCTGCCCCTGGCCGGAGCTGCTGGGGGGAGCAAGACAGTGAACGGTCACTTCCAGGTTTGCCAAGAGCAACTGGCATGGGGGTGTGGAGTGTGAGGACATGGAGAGTGAGGACCTGGGAGGGGACAGTGGGGACCTGGGTCTTCCAGGGCCACTGTTTTCACAGATGATACCTGTCCAAATGTACCGCTGTTACCTGATGACAGGACACACAAAGCTGTGTTGTCACCATTAACACTTAAGGCCCACTGCTCAACGGGGTGGGCAGGGAAGTCTGGAAGGGGAGAAGGAAGGTAGGGAGGCATCGGAGGCCGCGAGGTGGACGTAGGGACAGTAGGGGAGTCACAGGCAGGGGAGAAACCCTAGCTCCAGCCACCCCGTGCCTTTGTAGGGACGGTCGAGCAGATTGCTCAGGCCTGCAGGACACACTCCAGGGCTCCCCAGAGAGATGCCCGGGGCCTCCACATAGTCAGAACTGAAGCTCGGGTGTGGGAGCTGGGCCTGAAGCCAGAGCGTCCTCAACAAGTTCCTGACACACATTCCTCCTAATTAGCTTTCTGTGTCCATCTGCCCAGAAGTGCCAGGTCAGGAGTCCAGGGTGCAGAGAGAAGAGTTAAGATGCCAGGGTCTTCACCACAGTTATATGCCAAGACACACAGCTGAGGTTGGGCTCACGGGACTGCCACACATACTGTGGAGTGTCCAGCAGTCTCGGGTAGGTGGGCAGCACCCTCTCAGAGTTCTACAACCACCACACACAGCCACAGGCCTGGGGCAGATCTCCACTCTGGTCTAAATGGCTCCTTCGACCAGGAAGAGAGGTGGCCTGGAGCTCACCATGCCTGTTCTCCACCCCTGATCCTCTCCCAGGTGTCCCATCTCATCTACCTGGAGAGGATAGTGGGCCCTCAGGACTACATAGCCCAGGGCACTGATCGTCCTTTTCTGTCCTGGAGGGCTGGGTACAGGGCTCGCCTCTCCTGCAGCTTTACACTGGCCATTTGGGGGTGTCCCTCCAATCCCTAGCCTTTGTGGTCCTGCGCTTGCAGATTTCACCTGTTCACTTTTGCAGCCAAGTTTCTGCTCCCTGAGTGCCCCACCCCCCACCATTAAAGGTCTTTGGAGAACATCTGGGAGGAGTCCCATGACCAGCCTCACCCCCAGGGACATGGCTTCTGCAATGTGCCAAACACAGCCCTGCCCAGGTGAACAAACCAAGCGCCAGAAGAGCCACTTGCTGCCCCAGGAGACCTGGTTGGGGGTCCCAGACCAGCTCTCCCTTCCCAGGGCATGGGCTTTGAATCCCTTGAAACCAAGAGGCTCAGTAGGCTGAATCCTGGACTAGAACCAGGGGCAGGAAGTAGGTAGAAGTTTTCTGGAATCAGAAGAATCAGTAGATTCTTTCTGGAATCTTCTACAGGGTGGGGGAGGACAGCGAAAGTGCCATCCTCAAGCTTCCTCCCTCTTCTCCCCAGTCTCCAAGAGGTTGATCCTCTACCCTGTGTTTCCTAACCCTCTGTGTTAGTCAGCTTTTCGTGTCTGTGACTAGAATAGCCAGATAGAGCAACTTAGAGGAGGAGGAGGAGGAAAAGCTTATCTGGGGTTTCCAGTTTCTGAGGTCTCAGTCCATAGACGGCCAACTCCATTGCTCTGGGCCTAAGGCAAAGCAGCACACCATGCGGGAAGGACCCAGCAGCAGAAAGCTGCTCCCCTCCTGGTGGAAGCAGAGACAGAGAGCAAGGAGGAAGGAGTCTCAGGGAGGATGCACCCTTCCAGGACACGTCCCCAGTGACCCACCTCCTCCAGCCGAGCCCTACGCCCCAGTCAGCAGTCAGTCAGTCCATTCAAAGTAGGATGGACAGACTAGAGTCTAGCCCTCATAATCTAATCAGTTTCCCTCTGAATATTCCTGCATTTACAGGTGCCTTTGGGGGACACCTTGTATTCAAACCATAACACCTTCTACCAGAGGTACCCAGAGGCAGATAGCCCGTGATGGATGTGCCCCAGGGAAAGGTGGTGACTGTGGTCCCAGAGCTGCACTTGGCTTTGACTGGGCAGCCCCTGCTCCAGCTCCTTGTGGAGGACCTCCAAAGACCCGGGAGGTCCTCTTCCCCTTCCTGAAGGAGGAAGGGACCAGGTTTAATGGTGACAGAAATACCTGCCCAGCCAGGAAGAGCCCAGCCCAGGATCTTTCTGGGGCAATGGCATCAGTTGATCTCTCCTGGGCCCTTTGTCCACTGGCGTGGACTGGGATGGACTGAGGGCTGTTCCGTTTACCATCAAGAGTTGTATTTTTGTATCATCCTCTCTTGTATGCCAGTTACATGTGTGTTGGATGGTGTGATGGATTTATGTAGCATTCAGTCTGTAAATAAAGCAAAGTAACCAGGAGTGGGCAGCAGTCCTTATGGGGGAGGGGGTCTCCCAACCCCAGAGGAATCTAGAGGGTTCTTGGAGCACCCAAGCAGAAGAAGTTCCAGGGACTGACCTTCTCAGAGAAAGGCTAGAGCAATTGGAGGATTTGCTCTTGACCACGCAACAGGTGGCCAAGGTACTTCCTTAACGACCCATGTTGTTGGGGAGACCCACAGTTGACCGGCCTCTTCAGCCGGAGTATCCTCTAGGCAGTGGTGGACTCCATGTTCATCGCTGAGGATTAACTGCAATCCTTGGAGACATATATTTTGATTGTGGCCACTTAATTCTCTGGATCAGGCTCCTGGAGTCCTGGAATGTTCCGGAAGAGTGGATCCTTCTTCCAAACAGACTTAAGTAAGGACCTTATTGGGGATTAAGATTCTTTTCTCTCCAAAGAAGGGGAGGGAGAAAAAGTCCATCTGGTTTGGACTGAAGGTGGCAGGAGCCATTAAAATTCCTTTCTTATTCACTCGTATTGCTTAGTGAGACAGGGGCTCATCTTCCTGTTTACACAACCCGTCTGTGAGTTGGCCAGAGAAGAGTGGGAGAAATCTTCACACAATACACTGCGGCTTCCCTCCAGCTGGTACAACCGAAAGAGAGCCAGAATCTGACCCTCTTGGCTCCCCGCTTTTCTGAAAAACCTACTTCTGGCAGCTGGTGATTCTGCGGCTCCATTCCCGGCAACTCAGTGGCCTCTGATGGCATTCATCCTGGGGTCACATGGTGCCCAGCGTTCTGGAGACATGGTGGGATTTCAATGCCATTTGCTTCAACAGGCATCAGAGTATTGCTGGATTAGACCTTAGATGCCAGTGCTGCGAGGTAACAGGTCAGGACATTCTGGCTCCTTCATTGTTAAGCATCCCCTCCACGTCCCTCCAAAATGATGCTTCAGTCTCTCCACGGACACCAAGACAAGTCATTCCAGGGTTTGGCAGAAATATTAGTTCCTAATGAGCCAGAGTATCCACTGGCCTTGATTGTGGCTGCTGAAGCCACGTGGTCTTTCGGGTACTGGGATTTGAAGACAATTCTCATATCATACTCTCAGCGTTAAACCTTCCAAGCTGGTGTTAGGCAGGGCTGGGGTATATTGCATCCAGAAATCACCCGCCCCATCGCCGTGCCTCAAAACAATGGGGCACTGCCATGGGGGTATAGCTCAGTGCTAGAGGTGTGCTGAGCAAGCCCAAGGCCCAGCTTCCAAACAAAGTTTCTCTCTTGTTCACGCAAAGTCCCATGAGAGGCAAGTCTTTCCTCAAGTGATCACAGTGATTTAGGATCCTTCTGTGAAGTGGTTCCGTCTTCTTGGGGTTTTCTATTCCCGTCCACACAGGAGAAAAGGCACCAAGAAAATCCTTCACAGAGGTTCATGGCCAAGTCTGGAAGATGCTACACCAGCAAGAGCTAAGACCCTGTCCCTGCAGAATGACAAAGGAGGTCTGGACAGAGACCCCACCCCAACTACTTCCCCCAGGTACACTGTATAGAGAGAACTGGAAGTTACCCCGGACCCATTCCCTATCGACCTGTGTTTTACAGGAGTGTCAAATCCAGTTACTCACGTTCCACTGGCCAGATCCCAGTCACATGGCCCCAGGTTAACTGAACTGCAAGGGAGCCCGGGACAGGTAGTTCTCCTGTGCATGGGAGAAAGAGAAGGCCAAACTGGTGAGAATCTGGCCAGTCTTGGATAGACAGCTCTCTTCAAGTCACTGCCACTTAAAGGTTTTGAGCTCTTACTTGTCTGTTCCTTCATTTGAACAAAATCCACTTCTTCAAATATGACCCCCAGATCTGAAGGGAGCCCAGGTGAGTCTGACCCGCCCAGAGGAGGAAAGGACCAGGTTCCGTTTCTTTACTTTTGACAGCATTCCACATGGCCGGTGTCTACTGAGTTCACGCAAATTATTGGTAAGCCTCGTCTTCACCACCCTGCCTGAGAGTAGTGAACGTTGTTGTGGGGCCAGTGGCCACCTGTGTGAGCAGGAGTAGCAAATGCAATGAGCTGGACCAAGTAGGGCTGGCAGTGAGAAGGACCCATGCAAGGAGGCAAGAAGTGACCCCAGAGGAATGCCTTTCCCAGCTGAGCACTGGGCATCACTTGGTCAGACAACAGCAAGAGGACCAAAGACCCCCAAGCCCTTAGAGGGCTCACTTGCCTGCAAGTCCCACTTCCTGCAGGGGCTGTATGGAATGCACTATCTCAAGGTCCCCAGATCCCCAACTTGCCTTTGATCAGCCAGAGCATCCTGTGTACCAATCACCAGGATTCCCTCCTCACGGCACTCCTGGAAATGCCCAGTGATGCTCAGATGTACCAAAGTCAGATCTGGGTGGCACCATCTCTAACCCCACAGGACCATTCCCCGTCACCTGTTTCTCCAGGCTGCGGCCATGCTTGTCTTGCCATTACAGACATAGATACCAGCCTTCCTCAAGTAGAGACAAGACTAGGACACGTTTGAGTAAAAGCAAGCGAAACTTTACTAAAGGTCTGAGCAGGAATCATATTGTGGAATGGGAAAGTCTTAAAACTGCATCTTGGAAAGCAGAGCTCCAGAGGTCCTCGGGCTGACCCTGCTTAGGGGTCTCCTCCTGACCCTCCTCACCTCTCAGCCCTTGCTGCAGAGCCTAGGCTTGCCTGTCCCTGCAGGGGACATTGGGATGCCCCACCCAGAATCTAGGACGCCTTGGTTTTCTCTTCACTCAGCCAGGTCTCAGCCTCTTTCCTAAATTTCTGCCCACAGTGAGGATAAACTAATCCATAGTTAAGCCTCAGCCTGCTCCGTGTTGGAACAGAATTCCATTACTACTGCAAAACCAAAGGCCCACGCGTGTCTTCCCCCAAAATGTGATTCAGAAGAACATGGGCATCTTTTCCTCTGATAGCCATCAAGATTTCAAAAATGTCAGGGTACCATCTTCATCAGAGCCTCCCATCCCGCCCCCCATGACATGGAACTCTAGGTCCCAAATCAAGGACAAAAATTATAACTGGAGGAAAGGTGGCCAGGGAATTGGGTGTGGGTTCACAGAGAGCTGCGAGGTCACAGGTGGGGACTGAGTGCCTATTCTGGGTGCATCACCTGATGCCACACCAGCAAGAGCCAAGACCCTATAGGTAGAACCCCTGCAGAATGACAAAGGAGGTCTGGACAGAGATCCCACCCCAACTACTTCCGCCCAGATACACTGTATAGAGAGAACTGGAAGTTACCCCCGACCCATTCCCTATCTACCTGTGTTTTACAGGAGTGTCAAGTCTTAAAAAAAAAGGAGGGTTAGTTCCTTCTTCACGATGAATGCACATTAAAGTATCAAACTAGCATGTTGAATAAAATGAAAATTAAACAGGCCCAACAAACACTGGGAGGCCTCTCTGGTGGCCAGATGCCCCTCCCCCCAATCTGAATGAGTCAGTGTCACTCAGCAGGGTCCCACACAAGAAGCTGTCCTGGTCCAAGATGTGAGAGTATAATGGGAGATGGTTGGTGACGCAGTTTCTGACTTTGTTGGAAAATGTGCAGCTGGAGTTGAGAGAGGGGTAGGGTGGGCTGATCAGAGCTGTCCAGGAGGACTCTGACAGGCCTGTGCCCTGGGCCCTGAGCACCCTTGGGCTCCAGGGGTGAACTGCCCTACAGTGCAGGGAGGCCAAGGGGCCCTGCTCAGGGGTGGGGGCAAGGAGATGGGGAGGAGGTGGCAGTGTCAGGGGTGAAGGGGACAAGACAACCTGGGAGGTGATGGCTGGAGGAATCTCTTGCCTGAGTAAACAAAATGCTATTTGAAAAAGAGCATTTTAAAATTATAAATATTTGGGTGGGTGGTGAGTAATCCTTCCCTAAAGCCTCAAAGCAATCAGTCATTCACTGGGGTCCTCCTAAATGACGGGCAAGAAGCTTCTCTGGGTGGACTTGGCATGGGAGCCTGGAGCAGCCGGTGTGGAGGAGGGTTGAGAGAATGTGCCAGGGTACCAGGAACCAAAGCAGAGACTGGGAGCCCAGAGAAACGTCCCTCCTGGTACTATCCCCTCCTGGGAAGCGGACTTGCAGCTTCCTGGGCCCTTGGTGAGCTTGTGGCTCGCCCAGGACAGTGTTGACCTGCAAGGCTACTGTGGGAAGAAGCTGGGGGTCTCGGGGAACTCTGGATGCAGGCTGGGCCACTGAGGAGGAACTTGGCATGCATGTGACATTAAGGGCCATACATGTGCTTTGGTGGTGTCCACCAGCTTCTGATCATCTCAGTGTGGACGCTGTAGAAGGGGAGCCCGTCCACCTCCATGCCCAAGACACCCGAGCCTCCACTCCAGACTCTGTGCTGCATCAGGATGTCCAACATTTTTTCTTCCTGGAAAAAGGAAAAAAAAATGAGGTGGAAGTAGAAGTAGTGGAGGGGGAAGGGAGAGGGGAGGGAGAAGAAAGAAATGTACAGATCTCTAAGCGGAGGAAGGGCCTTGGACTTCAGATGCCTTTTTCTAAGATATGATTTTGGTTAAAAATACCAATGCCAGCCTGGGTTTGTGGCTCATGGTAGAGCCTCGCCTAGCATGTGCGAGGCCCTGGGTTCAATCCTCAGCACCACATAAAAATAAAATAAAGATATTGTGTCCATCTACAACTAAAAAATAAAATATTAAAAAAAAATACCAATGCCACTGGAAATCTCACCATGAAACAGTGTGTCCTACATCATGCCTCATTGGTCCCCAAGCCCACTCCCCGAAGCCACTGCTTGGCTACTTGCAGGTAACCAAATCCGATGCTCTTACAGGCCTGCATCATCCACCCCAGGCCCCTCCCCCCCTTGCTGGGGATTGAACCCAGGGATGCTCTACCTCTCGACTACACCTCCAGCCCCAGGGTCTCACTAGGTTGCCCAGGCTGGCCTCGAACTTGGTCCTCCGCCTCAGGCTCGGAGTCACTGGGATTACAGGCATGTGTGCACCTTTTAACAAACACAAAGAGGCTTTCCTTCTACAGGTGCAGGGTGGGCTACTTCCTGCCAGCCCAGCCAGTGGCCTGATGGTGCTAACAGGCCCCGTTCCTCCTGAGAGCCACTGTTGGTCTCCCAGGTGGCATGTGCCAATCCTGCTGCCGCTGCCTTCTAGGCATTTCCCAGGTGCATGTGGGAGCATCTGGGAGAGCAGAGAGAGAGCCGAGAAAATGCAGCCCAGGCCCCACAGGCAGTGGCTCTGGATCGGAGGATCTGATGTGGGTCTTTCTCGACAGGAGGTCCAAGCTCTTTGTGCCTCGGTGTTCTCATCTGTGAAATGGAGCTGTTGCTGCTGATGACGGTAATGACATCTGCTGCAGAAGCTGCCTAAGGGTTTAACGAGTTAGTGGAAGGAAAGCTACTAGCACAGCCGTGGCACCGAGTAGGTGCTCACAAAATGAGGCTGATTACTAACGGGAGGCCAGGGCCACGGGCCTTCAGCACAGAGCTTTCTTCTTCGACTCACTGGCTGGTTAAGGCTTGAGCCCCCTCTTTCTTTTCCCCTCCAAAAATAAGGTCCCAAAGAACCACTTGACTAAGCCACTAACACTCCTGTCCGCCGCTGAACAGAAAGTGGGTCTCAGGAATGTCCTTCCTGCTGCATCCCCCACAAATGCAGGAGGCAAGAGGAGGAGCCCCAGGAGCTGAGCCCAGGGAGTGGGCAGAAGTGAGCAGGGCGCTTCCCTTTCTGCACAGGCAATTGCTCACTCGTCCCCCATCCATCTGCCTGAGTGAGCCCCTGGATGCCGGGCCCTAACCCCAAGAGGTGGGGAGGTGAATGTAACAGGCAGTCACAGTACATGGGGGTCACAGCACAGAGCAGGGACACCCAATCCAGTTTTTAGGGGTGGCTTAGGGGAGATTCTATGGAGGAGTATTATAAACTGAATGCTTGGGCTCCCCAGCTTCATGCTGATTCCCCAATACTCCATGTGTTGGTTGAAATTGGGGCTTCGGGAGGTAATAAGGTCCAGATGAGGTCACGAGGGTGGGACCCCCGTGATGGGATTAGTAGCCTCCTAAGAAGAGGGACCGGAGCTCTCTCACCACTACATGAGGACACAGGGAGGAGGCAGCCAGGAAGAGAGCCCCGCCCAGGACTGGATCTGTGGCACCTTGAGGTGGGACTTCTCAGCCTCTAGAGCTGAGAGAGCTAAAGGTATTTTGCTTCAGCTGCCTGAGCTGACAAGCAGGGTCAGAGGTCATGGCAGAGTAGGAAGAGGGCCCTTGAGGACACTCTGGAAAACTTCACAACAATGGGAGGTGCTGGCAAATGTCACTGAGGAACTGTCTCTCACGCCTGGCCGAGAGCCTGCATTTCCCTTCTGCCTGGGGCCAAGGCAGAGTCTCCCCGTGGGAGGGAGGCCTTTCCACATTTCCACCTCCTCACGCAAGCTCTTTGTCCCACAGGCCTGCCCAGGGGCTGCCCAGCCCTTTGTTTGGGCTTTCTCCATTCGCCCACTTCTCCCCATTGGTCATATCCTCTCTTTGTGGAGAATACATCAGGGACCCTGAGGTCACTTCCTCCCAGCCCACTGATGGACGTCTCCACTCTCACCCACTGGGACCCAGGGAGGGCCTTGGGGTCCTCCAGGTGCGTGTGGTCAGCCAACAGGTTAGGAACCAGCTGGTGCTCAGCTTCTGAGAGCCACAGGGCCCCCACACCTTCTAGGAGCCGGTGGAGGCATGGTAGTGGGGAGCTGGAGGCAGAGCCTCTGAGGCTGCTGCACATCCAGACTGAGGACAGAGAGGGGACAGAGGATCAAAGCGAGGTCAGTGCACAGGGCTTGGGGCCTCACTTGACAGGGATGGGGAAACAGTCCCCGTTGTCTTCTGGGATTAGAGGCCGAGTGTGTGGCACCACTGCTCAGTCACACTGGAGCATGGCAGACAGATGCTGCAGGGTGGGAAGCCCAGGTGCACACCTAGAGTCTGAGGTAGGAGGGTCGCCTGAGCTCAGGAGTTGGCAGCCTGGGTAACACAGCAAGACCCTTCTCAATAAAAGAAACCAAAGTTATAAGGACGGGGGATGCTTTGAAAGTACTGGAAAAGAACAGGAGCCCAGGATGAGGTCAGACGCCATGTTCCTGTCTCTCTACATCATCCATCCACCCATCATTCATCCATCAATCTGTCCATCCATCTATTCATCCAACCATCCATCTGTCCGTCCTTTCTCCTCCCACCCTCCCATTCACTTGTTCGTGATCTCTCATTTCCCAAGGATCTTCCCTGTCAGGCTCTTAAGTAGAACAAATGTCATCCTCTGTTTCTCCAAGAGCCCATGTTCCCTCATTGTGCCACTGAATGACGTGTGACTGAAGGGTCCACCTCTGTTCCCAGTCCAGGGCTGATAGAGTTCTGCAAATGTAGGGAATGTGTGTGCTCACATGTGCCCACTCACCAGGGATGCTGGGTGACCACCTGGAGCAAAGATGGATGGGAGGGGTGGGCCCTCAGTGCCCACGGTGCAGCTAGTGTTATAAGAGGCCTGGTGCCGGGCTCCCTCCCCTGGCCACCAGGTTGAGGAGGGAAGTCCAGGAAGCCTTTCCTGGTGCTTACCCCACGAGCCCCACTCTGCTGCCCAGGAAGTGGCCCCTCCTTGAGCTCTCTTGCAAAAGGCTGGCACAAGAGTGGCCAGGATGTGAGGAGGTCTGAAGGTCAAAGTGCCCCTTAGCCCTTGCCTTTAGCACAGACCAGGCACCCACGGGGCCATGGGAGCAGGCTGCCCCTGGTGGAGCAGGATGGGCGTGGAGAGGCCGGGGAGAACCAGCTGGCCCTGCTGGCTGGGGAGGCAGCTCATGTGCCTCTGGGGCCACACAGAGGAAAGAGACGCACCCATATGCTGCCACATGGCGCCTGGAGGCCCAGCTCTGCTGACCCACACTCTGGATCCACTTGGCCTCTTGGCCTTCGCTCTCCACTGGCTCTGGCTGCTCAAACTCTCCTCGGCACAGGCCATCTACTGCCACCACCAAGCCTGGCTGAGGGTCCCCTGACACCTTCCCTGGCCTGACTGAGGTATAGAAAGGACCTTCTCATGATAATGAGGTCCACGGCTGGCATTTATCAAACACTGACTGCATGCCAGACGCTGCTCCGTGGTTTACACACCGGACTCCATAGTGACCCAGCGTCAGCTCTCTCGCCATCTCCACCTTCCCCGGAAAGGCGAGCACCCCGAGGACAGGGGACCTGTGCGAGTGTGTGAGGCTGAGCCCGGAGCCCAGCAGACACTCACCTAGGGCAGCTTCACATTTTCAAAATGCTCTTAGGTCCCAAGAAACAGAGAAGATGGCCACCAACTGCAGGAGACAGCTAGGCCTCCACACCCTGCCTCCCGGACCATGTGGATTCAACCAACCGCAGATCAAAAACGTGTGCTTTTCACATTGCATCTGGACGGAGCAAGGACCGACGTCCTCCTGGTTCTTATTCCTTGAGCCGTACAGCACGACGGCTACTCACACAGCACTTAGCTCGCAGCAGGGAACACGAGGAATCGAGAGGTGATTCAAAGTACATGGGAGGGCTCTCATAGGTGACGGGAAAATATCACACCATTTTTTACATTTATACATTTTATACAAGGGGTGGACACCTGCAGATTTTGGTATCCAACGGGGGCCCTGGAACCAATTCTCTGTGGATACAGAAGGACAACTGTGCAGAGAAGAAATTGGTCCAGGTGTGGGGCTGTGGCTCAGTGGTAGCGCTCGCCTAGCACGCATGAGGCACTTGGTTTGATCCTCAGCACCACATAAAAACAGATAAATAAAACAAAGGTTTTGTGTCCATCTACAACTAAAAAAATAAAAAGTAAAATTAAAAAAAAACAAACAAACAAGAAAATGGTTCTGATCCAGATCAGCACCCATCTGGTCTGGCTGGCCTGGCTGGCTCCCTCTGAGGCCCTCAGTGGGCCGAGGGGGCTGCTCATCCAGGACCCTCTCCAGGTCTCACCTCAGAAGCCTTCAGTCCTTCCCAGGCCACCCCCGCCCAGAGCTCTGTCACTCAGCCACTCCACAGCACCCTGGCCCCCAAGATGAGGGATGCCTGGCTCTCCAGGCTCTGGGTCCTCGTGTCCCTGGCCTTAGTCCCTCCTGTGAGGTGTCATCAGTTGGCTCTGTCTCTGGCAGCATGGGAATGTCCTCCAGTGTCTCATGTGCCTCAAGGAAAACCCAAGGACACCGCCTGCCCTCACTCGGAGGGCCCCTAGGCTGAGGGCCAGAGCCCGTGAGGTGTGCCCTGAAAATGGCTGCCCCTGCCCGGGTCCTCAGCATAGCGCCCACTCCTGCCACAGTCACCAGACCCCTGAGAACACCTGTCCCCGAGTAAGGAGGTCCCACTTATAA